GAGGAGGAGGAGGAGGAGGAGGGGTATGATGCTATTTCCTCAGGTACAGACTAGTAGGATGAAGGATGCCGTTCTGGTTCTACAGAACATCTAATGGAAGGGACCTCGGCAAGTTAATGAGATCATCAAAATTCAGTTAGCTGTTAGAGTTATCACCGAGAAGGGGTTTTTTGTTCAATGAAGGGAATATCATCCCTGCGCGGGCCTGCTCCTCCTCCTTAGGGGACTGAGGAATCTCCTTGCGCCTTTCCCTCCTCCTTGCCAGAGAGAAATCCCAACCACGAAGAATCCGGCACATGCTGCACTGCATCCACTCCTGCGGATACAATTCAGGCTGTCTCCTCTCCCAACCTCTCCTCCTCCTCCCCCGTCGAGCTTCTTTAGTACTCCCCATGTCTCTCAGCTCCTCCTCATTCCCCTCCTCTTCCTCCTCTCCTCACCTTTGAACCATTCCGGCTTGTAAGCTCTGAGAAGCTGGAGGACGCCGATGAAAACAACGCCGAGGAGGATGAGGAACAAGGAGACGAGAATCTCCACCCATCCTCCGAGCACAAGGGCGACAAACGTCACCGCAATGGCAGGGATAAACAGAAGCCACAGCCACACGCCCTCCACAGGAATGCGGTATGCTCTGATAGGAGAAAGAAGAGGAGGAGGGAGAGGAGGAGGGAGAGCAGGAGGGAGAGCAGGAAGACATCAGTCACAGGACCTAGAGGAGGCAAGCTTCACCTGGGCAGGTCGGGCTGGGAGTAGCGGAGGCGGATGACGGCGAAGATCTCGAGGAGGAGGGCGATGCAGTAGAGGTTCATGTCCACCCCGAGAATCGTCTTGAAGCTCTTGAGAGGAATGACGGAGCAGATCAGCGCCACGGTTACCGTCAGCGACAGCCACCTGAGCAGCGCGTCAGCTGACGGAAGTACAAGGGTAACTCCTCCTCCTCCTCCTCCTCCTCCTCCTCCTCCTCCTCTCCCCTTGTCTTCGTGCCTCATCCCCTCCGCAGCCCCCCAACCGCCCCCCCACCCGAATAATCATCATCGCGTTATCCACCAACACTCGATCCGTCTCCTCCAGCACTCTCGTCTCCTCCCCTTCTCGACTTACGGGGCTCCAGTGACAGGCAACCTTTCAGCGAACACGGTGGGCAACATTCCCTGCTCGCCCATCCCGCACACCATGTAGGAGTTCTTCACCATTGCGTTGGCAAACAATCCCGTCACGCTCACGCACTGTGCCATTCCGAGCGCAAGGCCGAAGAACTTCCCGCAATGCTCCATGGCAATGTGGATGTAGTACCCGTTGTCGTAGGCCGCCCAGTTGTTGTCCAGACCCGCGAACGCCATGATCGGCAGCCCATAGTTGAGGACAACAATGACGAGGACGATTGCAATGGCTCGCGGGAAGACCTCCGCCACGTTTGCAACCTCCCCTGCGCACACGCTCCCACCTTCCCAGTACCCCATGTTCCACAGCACAACCATGATGAAGCTCGACCAATCGGGCTGAGAGCACGAGTCAGACACGAGGAGGAAAGACGGAGGAGGTGGGAAAGGGAGCAGAAAGAAGTAGAAGCGAGTGAAGAAGGACGAGAAGGACGAGAAAGAGCAGGAGGAAGGGGACGCAGGAGCAGGAGCAGGAGCAGGAGCAGGAGCAGGAGCAGGAGCAGGAGCAGGAGCAGGAGCAGGAGCAGGAGCAGGAGCAGGAGCAGGAGCAGGAGCAGGAGCGAAAGCACCAATGGCACACCTGGGGAACTGACTCAAGCACGTGGCTCCCGTCGAACTTCCATCCCAGGATGGTTTCGCCCGTGAAAAATCCCGTGAAGGATATTAGGACGATGACCATGAACGGGGTGAGGAGGATCAGCATGAACACGACAGACCCATGTCCCACGGACTGGATCCCAGCGAAGTTCAAGGCAGTGATGAAGAGGATGAAGACGATCTTGATCCCCCAGGAGGTCACGGGGTTTGACTTGAGGTCATCTTGCAGAGTCGCCTCCAGGTAGGAGAGGAACAGCCCGGGGTAGATCGCTGCGTCCACAGAGTTCGACACGAACTGCAGCCATCCTGCCATCTCGCCCACCACGCTGCCGAACGCTGCTCCCACCCAGAGGGTGTATCCTCCGTTCTCAGGGAAGGCCGTCGCCAACTCGGCCGTCATGAGAGCAACGGGGATCGACCAGATCACGCCGATGATGATCACACCTGCGATGGCGAGCATGGGACCTCCCGTCTGCACCATCGTCTCTGTTCCCTCTGGGCCTCCCGCCACGGCGAAGTAGGTGATCGCAACAAGAGACCATAGCCCGATGGTCCTCGGCTGATGCCCCTTGGGGATGAGTGGCTTCTCCTCCTCTTGCCCCGCCATCGGTTCCGCCGCGTGCTGTTCGCCTTCCCCTACGGGTCCTTCTCCAGGAGCGAAGTAGCCCTTGAGGGGTACCCACCTCGCTCTAAGGTCAGACCCAGCAGCTGGGGTTGGAGGCCCCAAGGCTCGACGATGGGTAGAACTATCCAATGCTTACGAAGTTGAGGGTGAAAGAAAAGGGAATGGGACGAGACTGGGAGCAGGAGGGAAGAGTCGATCTAGGGGTCCCAAGAGGCAAAAGCGAGGGGATTCGAGGTCAAAGACGTCTGGAGGAGATGAGGAGGAGGACGAGGACGAGGAGGAGAAGGACCGGAAGGGTAGGGATAGCAGGAGAGGACGTCGGAGGGGTATGCACCCTAATTTGGGGCAAGGGGTGGGGGAGACAAGATGGGGGTGGTCATGTGTAGGAAACAGGGGGTGGTCAGAGGTAGTTTGGGGGTAGTTGGTGTAATTGAGGACTACATACATTTTCAAAGATGTTGAAGATTTTCATTTTTTACTAAACTGATGCCAATATATTCGAGTAAATTTGAAATGTAAATATTTGTTGTAAAACTGAGTTTCAAATTGTAACATGTGGAGGCCCCCTTCCAGAAATCTCCGAAGGGTCACCTGGAATTCAATGTTCAATGTACTGGGGCGAGCTTGAAATTTCTCCCACCACCCCACCCTCAGTCATACAAATATTATCTGACTACCCCTTCAAATTATGGTAGAACGTACCCTACTTTTTGTACCCTACCCACCTTGCATCGAGGATCTACCAGCGGCTATAAGTGGCAAATTCGGGGCTTCATGGTGGTCGACAAGAGTCTGGCGATGGCATGAATGCTCTTGCACACATGATGATTGAATGTGATCGCACAAGTATTCCATGATGAAGCAACAGCAGCTGCTGAGCACTGGCCATGGCCGGGCTTGCATCATTCCATGCGGCAGCGGCATAGTAAGGCTTGGAAGTTGCTACAAGGCCCGAGTCAGTACGGTATGGGATGATTGAGCCGCATTAGAAGCGACCTGGTGAAGGGTCAGTGATCATGATATTGCGGCCAACTTGAAGCCGACAGCTGGTTGCCAGAATCTGGAGCACTACACAGGCTGATCTCAAGTGAAAGTGCCTGCACTTGCCAGCCGATACTGTGACTCGAAGACGTGCTTGCAAGTGAAAGCCATGAGAACGCAATGAGACGTCACAACTAGAGCGGCGCTACAGTCATCAGCTTTCATTGCACCTCTGACTTGAAATGAGGAATCTGAGAGTTGTAAGAAGCAGTGCCTCAGAGTCGGTCACAATGATCTCCTTTCGTCGTCTCATCCTGTTTGCTTTGATGGCTTGTTGCTGCTCTGCTCAACCATGGAAATCTGGCAGCGATGAAAATGTTCGCAGCCTCTTTCATCCCACAACCCACAAGAGCTTTGCGTTGCGTACTCCAACTGACAGGCGATACCAAGTCTTCATACACAACGTAGATGATTTACATGAATTCAATGTCACATGATTTGTTGAGCGCATGGCTTTGCAGTTGTTTCTCACCCGTAGAGGCAAGATGGAACCAGACCATCAGCGCCCGGTGCCAACACGTTTGACATGCGAGCTGTCTTTGACCTGTGCACCAGAGTGATGGAGGGAAGCGAAACGGAATCAGCGGCTACAGGTCTGACTTGTCTCTCCCTCTGCTGTCACGATTATGACCTTTGATTGAGCAGGCGGAGGAAAGGTTTCGCGTTTGAGGTTCGAGAGAGTTCGCTGACACGACTTGCAAGGAGTTGAAGACCTGTTTCATTCCCTGGGTTTCCGACGACCGCACAGCAAGCTTGAACTGGTACTTGTGTGTGACTGTGCTGCTCCTGCTTGCTGCCTGCTGAACGAGCTGCTGATATGGACACTCAGCAGCAGGAGGACGAGCAAGCGCTCCAGCGCCTCACGGCCAAGGCGAAGCGAGTGAACATGTTCATGCCCAAGGCGGGTAGCAACCCCGTGTCAAACTTGGCGAACGAAGCCATCGCCGGAGCCACTGCGGATGAAGTCTTCAAGCCCTTCGCCGTCGCTCGTGGGTTGTATGTCGTCCCTGCACTGAAATCTCCTCAGCCCTCGTACTTCCAGCGTTTCGCCCCTCTCGGTTACGTGCAGAGAATTTTTGTCAGGACAGCAGGAAGTCAGGAAACCGGCGGAACAAAAGGAGGCAACGGACAAACAGAAGCAGCAGGCGGCGGCGGAGGAGGAGGAGGTGGCGGCGGCGGCAGCGGCGGCGGAGGAGGAGGAGGAGGAGGAGGAGGAGGAGGAGGAGGAGGAGGAGGAGGAGGAGGAGGAGTAGGACGAGGAGGAGGATGCGGAGGAGGAGGAGGAGGAGGAGGAGGAGAGGACGAGGACAGCATCAGGATGAGGAGCATGAGGAGGA